GACTTTTTAACCAAATTTTTGAAGAGCTGAAACTGAGATATTTACGTTTAATTTTTTTTCTGCCGTAAGTACTAATGCAGATGATTTTTAAGTATAAACAGTTACTCCCTTCAAAGATTTTATTGCGCATTGGAACAAAAAATGAGTAATTTTTTCTCTATTCGGCGGTATCAATATCTGTTTTTTTGGCGATAGTGCCCTTCTGCACAGTCTTATTTTGTATTACCTCTGGAATAAGGGTTACCTTATCATGACCTTTTATCTCTGAAAAATTCAGCTTGTGGCAAAAGAGTGGGAGGTAAATCGTTTTCTAGCGCGAATATTTTAATACATACACTCTACGTAAAGGCATCAACTAGGTAGATAGGTTCTGTAAAGTATGAACAAAGAAGTTCTTTAGTGGGCTTCAATTTATTTTCTATAGGTACCTATGCCTTTATTTATAACAACACGGTTATAAAAGCAGAATGCGAACAATTGAGTTGATCACCCCAATGCTGACAAGCTCTATAAAGTGCTCTATTAGAGCGTAATTGTTTAATATTTCAATTTGTGTTATTGACACGCCAATAAGTTTTAAATAAAAATTATATAGATTTAAAAAAATACGTATTTTAAAAATATTTTTGAGTACACTTGGTGTTGCGTTTTTGTCTGGCAAATAAATAGAACATTCTGTATTTTATTTTAGTTTTAGAATGGTTTGATAGTACTGTATGTAGCCCTAGAAACTGTATGTAGCCCTAGAAACTGTATGTAGCCCTAGAATTTTGTTTAAAAATATAACAGGTTTGTCAAGCCATTATTTTTTTTACGAAATTAGAGAATGATGCAGATCCCAAATTAAATTATCATAATTTAGGTAGGTTTACAATGATTCAAAATTGTTTCAAATACATAATTATAAGATACTAAGCTAACGAGTAGTGGTGATAGAATTGGTTTATTTTATGTCTTAAATATAACCAATTTTAAGTTAAATTTCGTCAATTTTTTCAAATGCAAAATTTTAGCATAAAATTTCTTTAAATTTACCTATCCAACGATACCAACATGTTAGCCAATAACACAAATACAGGGTGTCCCATTAGTGCGTAATTGATCAATAGCTGTTTTAATATTGGAAATACGAAACACAAAAATAATAAAGTTGTTTGACCGTGTTTAATAAAAATTCTTAAATATACGGGGTGTTACATAAACGAGGGACTGAGCCATATCTGCTTGTTTTCACATCGTCAATCAATTTTAATAGACTTCATTTATTTGCTATGTTGAATATAGGGTGTGTTAAAATTTTCAATTTTCTCAATTTTTTTAAATGGAATACCCTATATGTTATACCACCAATTGATTAATACAGGGTCCATTTACAAAATTGAGAAAATCGTAACCTCACGTTTTGACACACCCTATACAACATAGCAAATTAATGAAGTTAATTTTATTAAAATTGATTGACGATGAGAAAACAAAATTAGTATAACAACCTGCAGGGTGTTTTGCTTTTAAAAAGTATAGATTTGGTTCGCACCTCGTTTATGGACCACCCTGTATATTTAGGAATAATTGTTAAATATAATCATACAACTTTTATATTAAAAATTTCGTCGTATTTCTAATAATAAAACAGCTATCTATCAAATATGCGTTATTGGCTAACTATTGGTATCGTTGTATAGACAAATTTTTAAAGAATTTTATGATAAGATAATATACACGATGATGCATTTTAAAAAATTGAGTAAATTGAACTTAAAATCAGTTCTATCTCCACTATTCGTTAGCTTAGTATCTTGTAAGTCTGTATATTAAACAATTTTGAGATCAATGTAAACCTACCTAAATTATGATAATTTAATTTGCGGTCTGCATCATTCTCTAATTTCAAAAAAAATTAATGCTTGGCAATAGTGTAATATTTTATAAAAATATTCTAGGATTGAATACAGTATTACTAAAATATTCTAAAAATAAAATACAGGGTATTCTATCTAAAAAATGTACATTTTTATTTGCCAGGAAAAACGCAATACCCTGTATATCCAAAAATATTTTTAAAATATCTATTTTTCAAATCTATATAACTTTTATTAGCTTTTATTAGATTAAATTTGAAGTTTAAAATTTACTGTTTATTCATTTTTGAATTATCGTCAAAACCTAAAGTACAGTTGAAAACTACAAGTCGAAAAAAAAGCAATCCTATACTTTACTGGATACATGAAAGTTAAAACCTAATTTGAAAAAAAAATACATTTAAGCATATTAGATTTGTATGAATATTTGAAATATTCAATTTTATAAAACAATTAAAAGTATCATTAACACCTAGGCTCCAGTATCCAACAAAATAAGCAAGCAATAAATTTTTACCATCTCCGTACAGACATTTTCCGATCTCAAAGTATTCAGTTGAGGCTTTCTCTCATTACTTACATATCCTTCATGCTCTTACGCAAATATTGAATATGTTTAATTCTTACAAAATTAAAAAAATCGAATACAAATCAACTTAATAATTGAAATGATATACATATTAGTAAACTCCTAAATAAGGACCTGCATATTTGAATTTATTTTTATTTTTATTCAAGACGACTTTAGCGCCATCTATTAGAGAAGCTCCGAATTAACCTGTGGCTACTGTATGAATTTTTAGGAAGTTTTCTTTTATATTTTAGGCAATTGTTACACATAAATGGCGATTTATAATTTATTCCAAAATTTACTTCAATGAGCTTTTAAGAAAATTGAGAAAATTGAGGCAATTAATTTAGATATTTTAAGTGACATTTGTTGCTTTAGTATATAGCCTATTCAAAGAAGAATTATTTTCATCATCGGGTAATTATTACTGGTATATTTTTAGCTTTATTTCATCGTAAAAATTACCATATTTTGGGAATTATTTTTAAACGATCCCTTATAGTTAGAGACACCAAAAAACTTTATTGAACAGTAGTATATATCTATTATCGGCAGGAGTTTTTTCACTTTTATCTTTGTTGTAGTTTCAGCTAAAAAGTCATTGAAAGAGCGTTGTGTATGCCTATGTTAAATACATTGCCCACGCCCGCCCTTAAGTGCTATCTTCTGGTGTAAACTGGTGTAAATTGTTGCAAGAAACGAATAATGACAAAGTGTACGATACGATAGTTACAAGCGCGTTACACCAAAAGGCAGCACTTAACGAGGCGTTTTAACCACTAGTTTTGGTGAATTTTAAAAAATCATTATCAAGACATTAAGAGTTTAAATTTCGGAATTATATTAAGAATAGTGCTGTTGATGAATGCATTTATTTTCATTATCATATTTGATTTTTTTCTCGGAAACTGAAAGGAATTAAAATTTTAAAACATAGGAATATATCTAGTTAATATTACTTAATTTATTTTGTCAAAATTTTAATTTTTTAACAAAATTACTTTTTGAAATATCCTTTTTAGAAAATTATAAAGGCTGCTGCATTCACCTTAATATACCAACATACACGATGTTTAAAAATTCATGCGACAAATTTCAGGAGGTGATTGCTCGTATGAAATTAAGATGGGTGTTTCCTATAACAAAATTTCCTCAGTCCACCCCTTTCCGAGATATCACCCTTAAGAGGTGGTGACTAAAATTGAGTTTCTATTTTTTTTCTCTAAAATTTCAGTAAAGCTAGAAACTTGAAATTCTGTAATTTTCGTGTATTCACAAAATACTAACCACGGTTATTTTTTCAATATTCCTGTTACATTATAGGGGGGTGAAATTAGCAACCCTTACTTTATTTCATATCAAGACTTTTTTTCGAGATGAAGTTTTATGAAATAATTTTGTAACTTTAAAATCTTGTTTTATTTAAAAAAAAAATTATTTCTAAATTTTTTCCCCAAAAATAATAGCTTCATAGAAAAAAAAATACTGTTTTCCACTCAATTTATTAAAAAAAATGATAAATGTTTATTTTGTATAATAATGTGTTTATTTTTTTTTTCTCTGAAGCTATTGATTTTGGGGAAAAAATTCAAGAATAAAAAAAAATTTAATAAAACAAGGATTTCAAATTATAATTTTATTTTATGAAAGTTTATCTCGAAAAAAAGTTTTGATATGAAATAAAGTAAGTGTTGCTAATTTCATCCCCCTATAATGTAACAGGAATATTGAAAAAATACCCGTGGTTAGTCCTTTGCGATTACAGAATTTCAAGTTTATAGCTTTACTGAAATTTAAAAAAAAAACTCAATTTTAGTCACCACCTTTTGGGTGATATCTCGAAAAGTGGTGGGCTGAGGAAATTTTGTTATGGGAAAGACCCATCTTAATTTCATACGAGCAATTACCTGAATTTTGTCGTAAGTATTTAGAAACACCCTGTATATTACACATTTTTTTAAGCGTGCAAAATTCTTGACAATCTCTTTTCCCTAATTAGCACATGTCGTATTTCTCTAAGATTTACTAACTCTGGCAGCAAACAAATAAAATATAAAGTTGTCAGCTGTGCATTTTTGCCTTCCAGAATTTTTCATTTCATAAATTAACTAAAAACTAAATTAAACAAAAACCTAACAACGCCTCAACAATAAACTAAGACGATCACAATAATTTCGCACCTCTTCAAAAACAACTACCTATTTTTCGACACAGGAATTAACAAATTTAACTAAACAGCAGCTACCCTTTTAACCACGGGCTTCATAGACTAGCAGCGTTGCCATATTTACTGGTATCATTGCTTTAATAGAATTAGTATCGGAATGAAAACTATGTTAATCTTTGGTCCTGTTTAAAATTGGTAATCTTTTTAAAAAATATAAGTTTTTTACGATTTAGCGTCATTCTTGGTTCATTTTTAGAACGATTGGCTGAACCATTTTTTTAACAATTTTTTTTTAACTGCCTCAAATGTAAAATTGATTTTTGGCGGAGGAGCGCCCGTCATGTTCGCTCTTAAACTTATTTGCATTAAATACAGACGTACAATAAAAAGCCATGAATATTACCTTCTGGTGGTGATGGTTGTGGTGGTGTGTTGTTTTGATGCGCGATCATCGAACTTGGGTTTGATTGTGAAGACTCATAACCAAAAGGATCTACAGTTACAGGTCCGGCAGGGATAATCCTTGTTGCTGGAGGATTTACATAAAGTTTTTCCGTACTTTTTTCAAATATATCTGTTTGTGTCATCTTGTTGTCTAAAAAAAATAAACACCGTTAGTTATAATGCAGCTGATTCAGATCTATTGAATTCTATGCCAAGGTAGCTTTCTCGACTAAGCTAGTCACTGCGAAACAGTAAGAAACTATGAACACAATAATATTACGTTCAGATGTGGTTTCTCCTTTGGTTCATTTGTGCAGTGAACAGTGAACACCGAGTTACATTTCATAAAAACACATTATTTTAAAATAAATAACGTAAAAATATTAATTCAATTTTAATAATTTTATTGTTTTTATATGTGTTAATATCTATTTTTGGGTACGCCACTTAAAAATTAAAAACTAAAAGCGATATCAACATAAGATGTTGAGTAAAATTGAAGCTTTATAAGAAGAGAAAAAAGCATATTGATTCTAAAAAAAAAATTGAATAAATTGGTTAAAATATTAAAAAAAAAAAAAACGAAAATGATGTCACCATCAAGCTCTATAAGGAGAAGAAGCCCTTTGATTTAAAAAAAAAATCTGTTTAAGAGTTATTGCTCCGATGACAATAGAAGGAAATTTGTATTAAAAATAGGCATTCTGTTTTAATCCTAAAAGACACAGTTTTAAAGATAATACCATATATTTTTTTATGTGCAAAGAGAATAAGTGGCACTAGCTCTGGGTTTTCATACTTTTTTGAAAAAATGGTACGTTTTGTCTACAAAAAATTATAAAGTTTACTAATTTTGTTTAAAAAAGGACAACTTTTAATAGAGAATTAACATTATCAAACATGCATTATTTTTCGAACGATTACTGTCAACTTGTAGTAAATGTTTTTTTTAATAAGATCAAAAAATAATTTTTAAAATTGGACTTAATATAAAGCCGTAATCAATAAAATAGCAAAGTAATTTCGGATATAAAAATGATTGAAAAATATGATTACCATATCCCCTCCCAAGTAACAATTTGATATTTTATAAAAGCTGAAAAAATGTTTACAGAACAAAATTTATAAAATAGAATATTAGCTAAGAACATTTCCGGAACATTCTTTCAACAGTAATAAACACAAAATGGGCGCAGTATTACAGAACTATTTGGTTCTTTTGTAAATTCTATAAGATTTGTTGAATGCAGTTACCGAACAGTTACTACACATTTACACAGACTTTAAACAAATGTTTTTTTAAACTTTTATAACTGTTTTATAAATTTTCAATTTTGAGGTTAGGTTGCATATCAAAATCAGTAACATTTTAGTTTTTTAAATGTATCTGGTGAAAACAAATTAATTCTATATTTGTCATAAATGTAAATTCAAGGCGATATTAGTAAAATGGCAGTATCTACTTAAGAGATATCTATAACGCGGTTTAGACATAATGTATGACCTACAATAAAGTCGTTTTTGGATGCGCAGCAAGAATTACTGTTAATTATATAGCACATACAATACTAAATTTTTAAGCGCCTCGAGTTTGATTCATATTTCTAATACTTTTTCAGTGTGAAACAAAAATTAAATTTATGAAATTTGATTTTTTTTTAGTAATAAGATTATGCTAATATTACTAATGATTAAAATCTTTAATTAACATTGGTTTTGTCTTAAATACTAGTAAAACCGACAGTAGATTTAGCTTTAAAACTGTCTTAGGTTTTTGTTAAATATGGCAGCTATTCAGAGGTATTAGAAAGTTATTTTAAGACTGAATCATAATTATAAAATATTATTGTAGTAAAAACAGCTGTAATACAATAATTAAGTTGTACTACTCATTTCTACAAAACAAGTTCATCATGGTTTGTTGTATAATAGTTTCATATTGCTGCACTATATGACAAAATATAACATAACCTTACTAAATCGTTTCCGATTTAAGTATTTGGGAATTGAAATGATTAGATTTGTTTCTACAGCTTTATAGAGCAAGCATATTTTTAATATTACGAGAATAAGTAAATTTAACATGGACATCGCCAAAAATATGGCTTTCTTTTAGTATTGGGGCATGATTATTCAGAACATACCTAATTATTATCTGGCTAAATGATAGTTTTTTTTTGAGTGTCTAGACAAACCATCAAAATGTTTTACTAATATTTTTTACTGTTCTCTGAAAAGCAGGTACCACTTATTTTTTATATTTCTTCACTATATAAATCTGACATTTTCAGACCATACACTTACATACAATTGGTATGGGAAGTAGTCGAACAAACATAAATACAAAAATAATATGACGTAGGTACTACCAAATGTAGTTGCTTTATTTTTTTATAAATATTTTTAAAGGGATAATACTATTCTTAACTAAAATAATTGCTATACAGTTTTCTGATTTGTAATAGTGTATTTCGACAATATATTACAGTTATTTTAGAGTTTTCATCAGAAGCAAATTGCTATTGATGCGGAATTATCTCACACTAATATTTATATAACTATTTTTTAAAGCGTTATTATGAGGTTAAGAAACAGTTATATTTGTATGACCAAAAAGTTCTAAAGGTAATCCAGAACAATAATATAGAATAACTATAAAGCAATTTTATTTTATAAGCTGAAATATTGTATAGAACAGTTGTATAAATGTTTATGTAACAATTTCATAGTTATCGTAAAAACTATTTTATAATTTTGTTGTAAGAATATTGTAAAAACTAATTTATATAACTATTTAGTTTCAGAGAACAAAATAGTGATTTCTGCAACTGTAGTACAATAAATTAGCATTCCAGAAACAACAATATAATATCAATAAAATATAATAGTCTTGTAAACTAAAAATTATAAAGCTACTTTGTTAGTTGGGCTCTCAAGACGTTCCGTGTTCGTACCGAAGGATGGGTGCTGTTGCCTTCCTCATCTACTTAGTATTGAAATTTGGCTAGATACGGAATAAGGGTACATATAGGATCGAACTTAAATTTAGTGTTGCAATGTTTCAATATATTTAAAACATAGTTTGATTGGAAAAAATTAGGTAGAAAAAATATATTTGTATAGTAGGTATATATTATATTTTCTAAAATAATTCATTTTGCAAAGAATATTAACTAAGCTACTAATATAATAAAATCTATAAATCAGCCTTATAAATAATGTATTTAACAAATGTTTCATATTACATTAATAATTTACATGTTTTCTGACTTATCTGTGAATGAAACGTAAAGAAAATAGTTTTACTTACAAGTTTCTCCTGATTTTGTTGCTGTATCCTGTTGTAGTGATCTGATAATTTGTAGACTGTATAATTGTTTACAGAAAGATATTTCCTTAGATGCCCTCTTTTTAGCATATAATAAATAAAGCAAGAAGATGACTTAATATTTTATTTTGTACAAATATATAAAATATATTAATTTGCACCATTTAACGTATAATAGTATTTTGCAATTTTTACAATACTTACAAATGCCTCTTATTCGTAACTTATGCTATTGGTTTAAGAAAATGAAATTCATAATTATTTCGGTCTATATACAGGGTGAGTCATGAGGAACCTTACAGACTTCTACCATATGTAGAGTCCCTTAAGGGGTATATCATATGGGCATTAAAAAGTGGCAACTACCCTTCGTTATTAATAGAATTGTGAATTTTAACAAAATTTTATATGGCCGTAAAATCTACAAGGATTACTAGATTTCTTTAATTTTTTGGTGGAGCATTACACTGGTGTCTAGCATTTAATTCATATCATCAAAAGGTAAAAATTCCAGGATTGGCTTAGGAAAAATTGATCTCGACGATTCATATCAAAAAGTTCGCCCTGTATAAAATTTTTTCAAATTATAATAAGATATTTTTAAAGTACATAGATAGACAATCAAAACTGTTTATGTGACATTTTTGTCACCTTTTTTTTATTAAGGTTCGATTTTGGGTAAAACTGAAAAATCACCTTAAGGGGTCACATAAATTATGTTATAACATAAAGAAAACATTGTTAATTGTATGCATTTGAACTAAACGAGCCAAACATAAGCCTTTAGTGAGCTTGCTAGATCGTTAAATTCATTTTCGACAATTTCCAGATCCGGATTAGTTCATTTTTAAATTTTAAATAGAAATCGGCCTATTTTTGTAGACTATAGAAACTACTCAACTAAATAAACATGTCAATAATCAATAAATAAATTGTAGCGAATAACAATAACGAACAAGAAATTCACACTTATTAATTAATAATTATAAATGCTATTTATTAACCTCTAATAAAAACTGCACATTTTATTCTTGCAACTAAGATATTATGTGGTTTTATTTGTATTATAAATACATAGTAGGTACCTATGTATCAAGGTAGGTTGTGATAGTTTGACGTTTGTTTGTTCTTATTTATTTGTCATTTGCAACCATTATTTATACGTGTAAAATAATATTTCGCTTTGTTTTATCTATTTTACAACAGTGTTAGAATTTTTGTTGTTGGTGTTGTTATTCAAAATGCCCCATAAGTTTTCAAATGCAGAATATGCAGATATCATTTTTATGTAAGGATTCTGTAATGGGAATGGCAGAGCTGCAGCAAGAGAATATCATAGAAGATTTCCTGGTCGTCGAGTTCCCTGTCATTCAACATTTGCATCAGTTTTTAATTATTTGCGAGAACATGGCACATTCCCTAAAGCAAATACAGAACGAAATGTAGATCATGAGCAGGAAGATAATATTCTTCATGCTGTTATTGCGAACCCCACAATAAGCACCAGGAAAGTAAGTCGACAACTTTATGTTACCCAATCAAAATTGACTAGAGTCTTACGAAAAAATAATTTACATCCATATCATATTCAATTAGTTCAGCGGCTACACCCTGGAGATGAAATCCATAGGTTGGAATTTTGTAGGTGGATTGCAAATCATAGACCGGTACTGTATAGAACATTGTTTACAGATGAAGCACAGTTTACAAGGGATGGGATAAATAATTTCCGTAATTTACATATGTGGGCAGTAGACAATCCCCATGCTGTTCGAGAGTTTCGGTTTCAGTTAAGGTTTTCCGTGAACGTGTGGA